GTTGTGAGAGCTACTCCTTTAGTATGTCTCATTAATCATTGTCACCTTCAGTCTTGTTCAGCATAGTACACTCCAAATTGCACTGGCTCTGCCTGCCCTCATCACGGGGAATCTCTGTATCCAGATTAATTTCACATGTGTCTCTAAGGAGACTTACTATCACCAATTATTTTATCTTCTCCTGTTGCTTCACAATAAATATTAAATAAGAGCCATGTATGGTGATTGTTTGGCTTCAGCCTGTTTTATTTCAAGTTACAAAATCAGAAACCTGCATCTTAATCTGCTAACTCCCCAAAGAACTCTACCAGGTTCCTTCTCCCTTTTGCACTGTCAGACCCTCGCCTTCTTCCTTCACTCTGGCTCTCCTAGGCATTCCCAGCCTTTCTCAACGGTTACCTAGCAATCTGTAATGCTCCCATAACCCAGCAGTTTGCCTCCCGTCTCCTCCCATGTTGACCATCCCTTTGATGTTTACCCAGACCTTTCCCATTCTTTCTCTGCTGATCTCATTTTGTTGCTTGGCTTCCTATCCTCCATCTCTTCCATCTGCTGCTGGCCCTTTTCTGTGCTACAGAAGATCTGTTGCCTCTTCACCACTATTCTATGCTATTTTAGATCTTTGTTGCTCCCACGGTCTTCATATTTTCCACAGACGCTCAAGACTCTTCCTCGATCTCTGTGGTGATCCTTCTGTCATGCATCTACAACCTCATTTTGCTAATATAAGTCTACTGTTGTCACATTCTTTGTATTCACATTTGGTAGGTGAAGTCCATTTGAAGGTTTGTGACAATTCTGCAGGAAGGGGTGGGGAAAGAAAGCCTTGGTAGCAATCAGAAATGCCTCAGTTCCCCAGTGTTGCATGCCCCACTCTACAGTCACAAACAATCAGTTGTGTAAGGTACAGTTACCTAATCCATAATAGGTGATCCTCCTATCCTCCTCCTGAGGAAGTCACTAATTAATCTATGGCCTCATTACAACATTATCACTCAACTCAACTACATTCTGTTAGCCCTGGACGCGCTGTGGCAATAGGTGGCAATATAATGGGCTGCTCCTTCAATGTAATAGCAAATGTCAGCAGGCACTGTAGGTTCCAACCCTGAGGTAGGGTTAACCCATTATGACAATTGTACGCCACTCATCACAATCAGAAACAGAGAAAAACTATCCAAATATTTGGGCAAGTGGTGCTTTGGGTTTAGCCCACTTTCCCCTCTTCCTGGTGAGAAGCTGCAAGGTCACATTACACTTTATTTCAACCTCACACCATGCTGGCAGTTTACTACTTGTCCCCATTGCTCTAGGAGAAAGGGGCGGGCAAGGTAAAGGCAGATGTTCCATTAGGAACAGGCAGAAAGACTGTTACCTAAGTACAGCACATCAGTGCCTCCTATTCCACACCTGCTCTCCTTGCCTTACCCCTGCTTGTCTTTGCTGGCTGTGATTGCTGCTAAGACGACTTGTGACATTCTTGCTTGGGGCATAAACAGTAGAGGACAGGCTTTGAAAAATATACATGAATAAAAGGTCAAAATTCTCCCAGGAAAAAATAAACTTCTCATTTTTTTAAATGCATAGTTATGAAAAGCAAATTAACCTTTGGATGCTTGAGGAATTCATTCTGACAATAGCAGAGCTTAAAAATAAACAGGCTCCACTTGAAGTGGTGTGTCCAAAGATGTCCCGATTTATTCTTCTGCTAATCCTGTCCTTGCCTCAGAGGATCGGAATATTTAGGTCTGGCTTATAAAGGTCATGCTGACGTCGCTCATCCAATGCAGCCTAGAGGGGCAGAGGGCATGGCAATGGGTTATGGGACTTGCTGGGGTAAAATTATCCATTTATTTCCATGGGGAAATGGGAGCTGGTTTATGCTGTTGATTTGGTTCCTCTTAAATCCACTGCTTGGGTTGAAAGGCTTCTCCTAAAATATCACATTAGAGGGCAAAAAACAAAAAAAGAGAAGAAAATATGTGGCAACCTAAAAAGGCAGGCGTTGTATCCATTCCTGGCCTAGCTCAGGGACTATGCATTAATAACACCTGGTTTGTCCCCACTCTCCATCATTACTGTTGAAGTAAGGATCCCAGCATCTCCTCCAAGGATTGCTTCCATATTTGACTTTAGACTTGGCACACAATTATGGAGACTGACAACAAAGGCTTGGTCTTTGAGGATATTGCTACAGGAATGTGATTCTCATGGGTGTTTTGGGGAAAAGACAGTATGATGAGGTGATACAGTTTATAAATGCCTAGGTCCATGTCATTTAGGTGATGTAAATGGTGCAAGAGAATGCAAAGTGATATAATTTACAGGCCAAGGAAGGAAGAATGGGTAGTAGCAAGGAAAAAACCACAGCCAACAGAATATACAAGACATCACAGTCTCCAAGTCTGCTTAGGGATTAATTTGATTCCTTAAGAGCATAACCATACTGGAAGCAGGATCAGCCCTCTGTGGCTGCATCTATATTGGCATGATTTTCCGGAAATGCTTTTAACAGAAATGTTTTCCGTTAAAAGCATTTTCGGAACAGAGCGTCTAGATTGGCACGGACGCTTTTCTGCAAAAATCTTCCACAAAAGAACTTTTTGTGGAAAAGTGTCCGTGCCAATCTAGATGCGCTTTTCTGCAAAAAAGACCTGATCTCCATTTTCGCAATCAGGGCTTTTTTGAGGAAAACAAATCTGAGCTGTCTACACTGGCCCTTTTGCACAAAAGCTTTGCGCAAAAGGGACTTTTGCCTGAACGAGAGCAGAATAGTATTTCCGCAAGAAGCACTGATTTCTTACAGTAGGAAGTCAGTGCTTTTGCGGAAATTCAAGCGGCCAGTGTAGACAGCTGGCAAGTTTTTCCAGAAAAGTGCCTGCTTTTTCAGAAAGCTGGCCAGTCTACTCACAGCCTGTGTGTCTGCCCCACTTTCCTATTGCAAAGGATGGATTTCTATACTCTAAATCCCATTTCCTGCTGTAGGTGCAGCACTTCCTGTTTCCATGGCTCTAATCTGACTCTGCCAGTGGATTTTATTCTTGTCCTAGCAGAGCTTCAGCATCTCTTCCTATCCTCTCCACTTTCTTTTGGTTTTGTTTCACTCTGTTTTGAAACAACTTTGCATTTTTCTGTAGACTTTCAATTAATATTAATCTGGTGAAATCAATATAGTGCAAAAAAAAAGGGGGGGGGGACAGGAATAAATAGAGCCAAGTTCCAGCCCAAATTCCAATAAACTCTTTGAAGAATTGACTGCCCTAGCTCAACTTCCTCTAGGCTAAATAAAGCCAGATACTTCAAAATGCGAGGAATATTTTCTTTCAGTCACCCTTTGAATGACATTTATTAAGGCAAGATCGTAGTTAATATCTTTTAAACTTTTATATTTATTGTTTATTATTATTTAAATTGACCCTACTTGGGCATTGAACCTGGGGTCTCTCTTTGTAAAACCAAGAGATGCTAACCCTTGCACTAAAGAAGTAAGCCTGTTAGGTGGAAGGAGTAGCAGGCTGATTTTCTTTTATATATGACAGTCTCTCCTAGTATGGCATTCGTACTTTTTTTTAACAGTGTGGTAACTTTTTTTTTAAGCATGTCATAGATTACAGTGGGAAAGTGTTCCTGCTCATTATATGAATGAGAGGAGACTGCTGCATTTCACACGACATGTATAATTTAGACACATTTAGTTTCAGGAATATTTGGAACAAGGGATGGGGAGAAACTTTAAAACGTTCCAAGTGACCGAGTGTGCTGGAGTTTTCCAAACACAACTGTCTAGTGCAAGACCATGCCAGCTTTTAAAGTGCGCAAATAGAAAAATATCTTTGCAATGCAACAGATTTGTAATTAAATTCTTTGTGTGGAAAAAGGAACAAAATGAATCTCAGTTAATCTGTCTGAAACTGGCCGATGTTCCTTAGCTAAAAGCTAAGTTCCTCTCAAACATAGTTTAGCCAGCAATTGTTAATCATGCCACTGAAAATGGACAGGAAACATTGGAAGCTGTGATTAGAGGAATCTTACCAAATGTTAAGGAAAAGGACCTCATGTAATTTGAAGCTTTTCCTTGAATTTATATAATGGGGTTCCAGATTTAGGAAAGAGCTCAGCATTTCAGTGGTCCAACTTTAATTGAGCTGGGAAGCCAACTTCACTGTTTGGTTGAAAAAAATATTTGAATTGAAGCTCCTTTTCAAAGCAGCTGTTTAAATGAAGGAGAAAACATCTTTCTTAAAGGCTAAGCAAACTCTAAAGAAACCCCAAATGCCACTGTATTCTGCAGTTGACTTGAGCTGTTTGTCACACAGGCCCATGTCACACATTTGTGCCTTGAAGAGCAGACCGCTTTGCAGCCATTTTCAGCAATACTTGTAAGCCTGTGCTTAGCTTTCAGTCCCATTGAAAGCCAGTGAGGTTTAAGCATGTGCTTAAATGCTTTAATGAATTATGGGTCTTAATTGAGGACCCAGTGTCAACTTCACAAAGTCTTAACTTGAAACATTTGACTAGTCCCATTGATTTGTTTGTAGGACCAGACCCTTCATCTCTAATGGGCTATAGTATCAACTGCCAGAGTCTATACCATGTGGTGCTCATGTCAGACCTGTGGATTTCCACCAGTGTAACTGAGATCAGAATCTGGCCAAGCATTTTCCCAGCATCATGAACTTTTAAAAAATCTTGTCACAGTACAGTCTTTATGCCTGTACCAAACTGAAAATGGCTGCAAAGCAGTCTGCTCTTCAAGGCGCAAATGTGTGACATGGGCCTGTGTGACAAACAGCTTATGTAAATCTGGTCATTTGATATTTTTTGAGCTGTTAGAATGTGGCAGGTTTATGTCCAAACCTTTGAAAACCATGAAGCAATTAATGCAAATTTTATTCGCTGTAAATCCTCTAAAAACACTGTTGCTTGATTTATTTATATTATATCTCAAGGACAACTTCGCATGGGACAACAGATGACACATAGGAGTCCTGGGCTGTATAAATATAGAATCATTTTATTTTATTTTATTTTGATTAATAGATACAATACAATTTTTGACTACATAAGAAAGAGGAGTTTTCAGTGCATACATTCTTCAGCCAGACAGGGACAGAGAAACCCATACATTCCATAGTGATTTGAGTAATACCAGGGCACTTGCTTAGTTTATTTTCCTTAACTCCACCAGTTATTGGGCTTCCCTAGCTTTCATTAACAGCTTTGACAGCTCAAGGTATAAGGAAAAATGAATGGAATAATAAGGCTGGGCTGACTCTCATGAAACAGGATTATCAGGCAGGCAAAGACACTCTGCTGCCTGCATTCCATGCTAGTCTTCCTGAGTAACCGTATCTTTTAAGGCCTCATATTTGGTTGGCATCCCAGTGAGCTCTTACATTCCAGCCAGGAATTGGGGCTTTTTTTCCTTTTACACAATAGGGAAACAACACTTGGAACAAAAAAAGCAGAGCTGAAGTTAGACAAGGGAAATTCATACTTCCCTTCCTATTCTCTCCTGCCAATTATTTTTAAGAAGAAGGCCCTATGTTTGAGCTCAGAATTGCATAATCTTCTACAGATCCTGTGCTTGGGGATGTCTTGTAGCATCCTGTCTTGTTATGGACATGTGGCTGATGATGTCTCCTAAAAGGCATTTTATTCCTGGTATTACTCAACTGGAGGTTGGGAGCTAAAAATCATTAATCAAGACCACACCCAGGTAATTGTATTAAAAGCAGATAACACTTCCCAGGTAAGATGGGATGTGACAAGACAGTGCCACTGCTGAAGATGAAAGGTCATCGAAAAGTTTTATGTTTTAAGCTTTTGACTACCTCATTACATGGCAAAGTGCCAGCGAACATGCTCCACAATACAGAGGGGGCAGAGGAGAAGGGATAAACATGCCAGGGCCTTTGAAGGACTCGAGACAGCTCCCCAGGAGAGTGGCGGAGAGAGCAGTGCTCACAGGAGAGGGAAATCCAAACTGTGACCTTTGGAGACATTTAGCTTTGGGTCTCAATATGGATCCACATTTAGCAGGGGTCTAGATGTAATGTTCTCATTTGAGCCTATTGCAGTGGAAGGAGATTTCCATTTTGATTGGAGGTGTCCTAGCACTCAAGGGTGTGGGGCCAGAGTCAGAGTTTGAGCTTTCCATCTGGTTAAGATGAAGTGAAAGAGGCAAAGGGTGATCAAACTGAAGGAGGCAAGGGAGACAGACAGACTTCACCTAGGAATCCACCACTTCATCTTGCTTGAGAAGCTGGACGTTTAAGTACGTAGAAGAGAAGAAACATATTTTGTTCAGGGAGGGCCATTCCTGTTATAGATAAAAAAAGCCACAGTCCCCAACTCTACCCAGTGTAGGAGACTTACGATGGGAAAAGGTTTAAAGTTAAAGGTAGAAAAAAAGACCTGTTAAATGATCTAGTCAGACTGCAACAGGATACTCAGGAAATCTGTGGTACATTTGCTCTTAGTCAAAAGCCAGAGAAGAAGCTATTGGGAGAAGCCAGGAGGAAGGCTATACATGATCCGAAGTTTCCATGGAATTAAGGAAACTTCAGATCATGGAGAGTGAGGAAAAGGGGGAACCAGGGAACATAGATGTCATGAAACACCAGAATAATCAGATAGGTGTGGCCCCTAATGAGGTACCTTATTCTTGGCCTCTTATCTGGCCCCAGAGTTTATCAAAGGAGATTCTTGCCTCTGAGAGCCCCCTTTTGCCTGAGATTTTGGGTCACTAGGGAAAAACAGAAGGAGGAAACACCATAAAAAGCTCAACAGGTTTGCACTGCTTAATAACAGTTATGATTACATTGAATCAGATTAGAAAGGCAGGTGGTCTACTGCCCTCTGGAGTGAAATGGGAATCCCTGAGAAGTCTGAAAAATCAAACATTACATCACTTAGCAATTTGGCCTCTCCTTTCCCTCCAGCCAGTAGATCAGCCTTCAGTTAGACTAGAACTCATGAAAATCTCTCCCTTTTACCTTGAACTGCATGGCTGACACCTGCTGCAAAATTACAAGTCCAACAGATTCCTCTTAGTCCCTGTTTTCTAACTGAAGCTACGTAACAAAGGGAATAAATGAGAGCCAAATATGCTAACATCCAAAAGGAGAGTCATTGTGAACTGGAAATGGGAGGGTACTGTAAACCGAGCCTGGCCCGCAAGCATTAGTGAAATGTTTAATAAAGATACTTTAACTTTGTTACGTCAGGGTATCTCCGTCTCTCTCAACTAAAACGTTACAAACATATCATATAAAGGAATTGTTATATTTGCCTCTACTGGGTAAACTATATACATCAATGTAAGGAAAGACCAATAATTAAATTAAGGGAGGAGAGGAAAGGACAAACAAAATATTAGTAAATAAAATACAAGACACATACATGAATAATACTTATCAGGTAATATTTCAGCTGACTGCATTTACCATGAAAAAGAAAACAAATTTCCACTCAAACAAAAGTTGGAAACACATTTGTCCAAACCTTGGCCATTTGTAGTTTTCTTCAGGACACTTTGTAAATGCTTTGAGGCTGGTATAAAAGAACCAATCCCCCTCCCCCCCCACAGCCAGGGATTAAAAGGTTGCTGTCCTCGTTCTGATAGATGGGACATCAGGCATGGCTAGCCCAAGATATTTCCTGATCCTTGAATCACAGAGAGGTCCTCAAGTTTTAGAGGTCCATCTATGGAACCAGCGATTTAATATGGGTATAATTTTGCAGATCTCATGGAGAGTGCACAGGCCTGCATTTCTGTGTTCTCATGTGACAAAAACAACTATGATGAATGTTGGCTAAAAGCCGTAATAAGATTCCCAAGATGTAGTTTCCCCTTAAATAAAAGCACTCCCTTGGTTCCACTTAGAGCACAACCCCTGCATTGCTTTGGTTTCATAAAAGCCTCTGCAAATTGTGTTCTGAAGAAAGAGAAGGGAAAAGATGCTGAGTTTTCTTGGAAGCAGCTAATTAGCACAGCAGTGTTCCCAATTTTATTTAAAAAATGGAGAGCACATTTATATATTTGCAACTGTTATTTTTTTTCACTAGGCCTCCTTATATTTAGGTTTTGCAAGCAAAAGTTTTTTTACACAGTGTAATTTTCACAAGCTTAAGAGCAAAATATAACTGCAAAAATTGTCTTGCATTGATACTGTTAATGCTAGACCCAGAAGAGTTATATATTGGAGACATTTCTTCCATTTGTCTTGTGAATAAATTATCAGCAAACCAAGTGCTTTATTATTGGATCAGCTTTGTAGATAGTCAATTTAATATTCATTGAACAACTGGTCTAAAGAGCAATTTGTCACTCTTTTGAGTAATTATTCCCCTTTAGGTTTCTCTCATTATTTGACCCCCTGCAGTTAATACATAGTCACTACAATACAAAGAGGTACACAAATGACAACTTCCCAGCAGGTCAACTAGGAACAAGGATCTTACTAGAGACATATCCTTGTGAATACTGCAGATCTCTTTTTTAAAAATGGGAGTTTATATGTTTTTTCTAGACTAATTCTGGAATTACAGAGAACCAGGATGGCAATCTGAGGATTCCCCCATTTCAAATGTTTTACCATTCACAGCTAAGAGGGTCCTGGACTTGGGATTGTTGTTTGTTTTCCCCTCTGATAATACCTGAGTCTTCTTTCATGTTTATTTCAATGTTATCAGGTCTACCTAGTAATTTGAAAATGATTCTAATCTTCTGAAAGCATTTGGTCTGTTTTCATTATGCTGAAGGATTTAGGGAGAGATGATCACATTGTCTGCCAGGTGCCTTTTCTTCTTTTGGTTATTGTGATAATATAAAAAGACCATGTCATCTGAAGGAAAGAGGTAATTGCTAGTGCCAGACCTAGGGGAGGGAATGAATGGGTTTCCTAAGCCTTGGGAAAAATCCCCAGGGAGCAAATTAATATAAAGCTCCTTTTCCCAGGTTATAATTTAAGAGGTTACAGGCTTGACTGTCAATGTGCATCTTCCTCAGCCCTGCTTTAGACTTGTGATCCTAGCTGCTTTACTCATTCCTAGATTTCTAATGTCAGCTAAAATTACTTCACAATGCATTCAATGACAAAGATTACTTGCTTATTTGTGAGGTTGCTGCAAGGAGGACATGGGTATACATGCTGGCAATCAACAATCCCCCTGCTGCACATAGCACGTAGGGCTGAGGGGGAAGTCACTTTGAATTTCTCATCTATGTGCTAAGCCTGGATAAACACACTGCAAAAAGCTTCAATTTACATGCTTAGGACATTACATCCCAGAGAAGTAAGGTGGTGGTCAGGCTACATGGGCTCCAGCAATACAACCCTAAATATCAGATTGCTCCTAATGTGGGTGGTATTCCAAAGATCAAACTGTCAGTGGAATTTATGGAAAGTGCTTTCTATAAAGATATGTGTCTGGAAGTTAAGCAGAAACATTGTGTTAAATTGTTGGTGTTCCAGTGGCATATGCCCATGGGAAAATTTATGTAGCTAAATGTATGATGTCCCTATCCAAAGTCTCATGGTACTATACAATCATTATAAAAGAATGCACTAACATAAACTCTTGCTCCCACACAGGAAAAACCTGGGGAAATAGGTGAGCTGTGCAATGTGCTCAGAATGCAGCCAAGTCCAGGCTCTTTACAGGTACTCTGAGTACCCATGCTCTGTGTATGGTGCACGGTTTTAAGGACAGATCCCAGAAGATGTACAAACACCATAAGCAAAATTATTTGGATATTCCAAAGACATTTTGGGAGAGACAATGGGAGCCCCGTGTTTTTAAAATAATGCTTGGTTTTGAAATCCACATATGAGTGTTTGGGGGCGCAGTTCTTAACTGATCCCCTGACAGCATCTGCATGTATAATCCTTGTAGAGTCTACATTGGGCAAGCAGAATCAATACTGTTTTCAGACCTGATTTGATTTGACTTTCCGTGACTCTTGTATGGAATGAGCCAAAAGGGACTAAAATACTTTGAACATCTGCAATTGCCACTGAGCTCTCCCGGAGGGCAGGGAGGGTAAGGAGTGAGGGCACTTTGGGGGTGCAGCTCCCATTTTTGATTCTGGTACATTAACTAGAAGTGGAATATTCCCTTAAGGTCATTGCTCTTTAAGGGTTTCCATTCATATCATGGACACTGTCAGTTTCCCCTTCTCTTTTTACCCTAGTCCTTTTAAACAGCCTTTACAAATATGGAGGCATGTGAGAATCCAGGCTGGTTGAAAGAGGTGCAAAGATCAAACTTGACTCATTACACTGGAGGGGCAGAGTAGTGGATAACAGAGTTGTAGTCGGGAGGCGGGCTGTGGCATTCCAGGTTTGGATCCATGGGCAGGAGGACTGAGTCTTCCAGTGTGAAGTCCAGGGTGTCCTCATCAATCTGTACTGCTGGCTGGTATTTCGCAGTCTCACGTTCATGTTCTGATAACATGGATTCTTTGCTTTTGGTGATGGCTCTGTGCCTGTTTAAAACAAACACAAAATCTACTATTCAGACCCTTTTCTTATAAAGCTTTGCTCTTACCTGTCATTGGCCTAGTGCCTGCCATTCCAGGATCTCAAAATACATTATACATATTAAAGAACCTCACCTCACAGAACCCCTGTCAGACAGGCAACTATTTGCCCCCATTTTACAGATGGAGGAACTAAGTTTGTGACTGGCTCAAGATTACTCAGACATTTAGTAGCAGGGCTGAGAATAATACCTAGGAGTCCTCATATCCTGTCTCTTTTGCTCATCACAAACCACACTGCAATGTACTATTTATATCTCTTGGTTATAAATGCTCCTGTCATTGTTCTGACATCAGGTCAATGAATATGACATTCTGAAAGCAGAACCATGAGCTACAGTTTTTCTTTAAGTACAGTAAAAACTGAGATTAATGAATAATCTATGACATGCTTCAATTTATAACAATGTGGAGAGCAGGAGTGCACTTTATATGGGCGGTAGGGCAAATCTCTCTCAAACATACTTTATAATCATTTAAAATCATAGAACAGTCTTTCAGCTAAGTTACATGATGCCCAAACTGGTATCCTGCAATTGGTGCTATTGGAGAGACTCCAGTTCGATTCCCAGCTGCTTTCCTTTACTTTAGGTGATGGTGTGGGAAAAGAAGCAGTTTATGTTGCTAAATAGCAATCCCTTCTGGCAGAACCAGGAGAACTCCCAAGGGAGTGTGTATCGGTTTTCATTAGATGCCATCATATGATGTGTTTGAACAGAGGCTAACTTGAACCCCAAAAAAGTAATTGTATGCAACCTCAGAAATATTAATTTGCTGATCTCTAGCACCTTCCACCTGAGGAATTCAAAACATCTTTGAGGAAAGGGTTTGCATAATTCAGAGACGGTGATGACAAGGATCCATATCTGGAAGTGGTTCTCTGAACTTTGTCCACTGTGGTTAGGTTTCTATATCTGATCTGAATCTCTTTGCAATAATCCACAATCACAAACTGACTCTGATCATGGCATTGCTCATGTCCCACTTCAAAATGACTTCTGAACATACTAGGGAGGGTTTAAAATCAACCAATCGTGCGGTGCTCAGACAGTAGGAGAATATAGATCACGTGTACAACTACTTTTTAATGGCCTTGAAACAATCTTCAGAGAAGTGCTTTAACTATTTATTATTGTATATACAGCAAATGCTCGCCATTCACAGTGGATGAGTTCCTAGCACCACTGCAAATGGTGAAATCTGCAAATAAGGGGTCGGGAGACGATGGCCAGAGAAGTGCTTTAACTATTTATTATTGTATATACAGCAAATGCTCGCCATTCACAGTGGATGAGTTCCTAGCACCACTGCAAATGGTGAAATCTGCAAATAAGGGGTCGGGAGACGATGGCTCCCAGCCGCTGCAGTGAACTCCTTGAAGTTCCCAAACTCACTAAGGCTTCTGGGAGCCACGGGGAACTCATAGGCTACGTCTAGACTGGCATGATTTTCCGCAAATGCTTTTAACGGAAAAGTTTTTCCATTAAAAGCATTTGCAGAAAAGAGCGTCTAGATTGGCATGGAAGCTTTTGTGCAAAAGCACTTTTTGTGGAAAAGTGTCCGTGCCAATCTAGATGCAGTTTTGCGCAAGAAAGCCCCGATCGCCATTTTCGCCATCGGGGCTTTTTTGCGCAAAACAGTTTTTAGCTGTCTACACTGGCCCTCTTGCGCAAAAGCATCTGCACAAGAGGGCTTTTTCCCGAGCGGGAGCAGCATAGTATTTGCACAAGAACACTGACAATCTTACATTAGATCGTCAGTGTTCTTGTGGAAATTCAAGCGGCCAGTGTAGAGAGCTGGCAAGTTTTCCCGCAAAAGCAGTTGCTGCTGGGAGCCATGGGGAACTCACCACGGGGGGGTCTGGGAGCCATGCAGGGCAAGGGCCCTGACTACTACTGTCATCTAACAGCAGTCCTTCCCCCGAGTCTGTGCCCCCTCAGGATAGGGGATGGGGTACAAAGGTGGAGACCTGTTAATAGCAATTCTGTGAATTGCAGGAGTCTCCTGTATATTGAAAAAATTCATAGTGAGCAAAGTCATATTTCAGGGCCCCATAGTGCTGGGTACTGTACAAATACAGAACACGAAGAAGGTCCCTGGCCCAAGAATCTTACAATCCAAGTATAAAAGACAAGCCAAGAGATACCTACGGTAAATAGAGGAAACACAATAAATAGAGTAAGCACAGATATCTACAATAAATAGAGGAAGCACAAGGAAACAATGAGATAAAACTCAGTATGAAAGCTCTGTTCACTGGATACCAGCTTTAATCACCCAGCACTCCATCCCATTTGCTAAAGTGGGGCTGGCTGATTGAGGTGGAGGTGTTTTATAGAATCATAAAAATGTGGGATTGGAGGGAACCTTGAAAAGTGGTTTAGTCCACGGAACACTGAGGCAGGATTAAGTCAACCTAGACCATCCCTGACAGATATTTATCTAACCTATTCTTAAAAACCTCCAGCGATGGGGCTTCTACAACCTTTCCTGCAAGCCTACTTGTATTGGGGCACATAACCAGCCCCGCTTCCTGGGCCCCACTTGCCCTTCCAAATAAGGTTCAGGAGACTTCAGCGGAGTGCAACAGCCATGTCCTCTATTCCTTTGCAGTTTCCTCACCAGCATCAAATTGGATATAAACTTTGCAGGGTTCTTTTCTGATCCCTGGCAGAGTGGGTCACCAAGTAGGAGGCATCCAACAGCCTCCCTTACTGCCTTCTCCATGGCTGCCCTTCCTGGCTTTTGTAGCCTCTGGGTTTCTAGGCCAGCAAGTGTTGCCAATCTTCAGACAAGCATCTGGCTTTTCCACCAGCCCCAATCTGTTCCTTTTAATTGGGCAGCAGCTAATAAGGTACACTTCTACCAGCACCCTGCAACACTACTCCAGAACATAACTTTTCTTACAGTTGGAAAGTTTTCCTTAATCCCTAATTTAAATCTCCCTTACTGCAGATTAAGCCCATTACTTCTTGTCCTACATTCAATGAGCATGGAGAACAATTGATGGCCAGCCTCTTCATAATGGCCCTTAACATATTTGGAGACTGTTATCAGACCCCCTCTGTCTACTTTTCTTAAGACTAAACAGGCTGATTTTATATAACTTTTCCTCACAGTCAGGTGTCCTAAACCTATTGTAATTTTTGGTGTTGGTCTCTGGACTTGTTCCAATTTGTCCATATCTTTCTTAAAGTGTGGCATCCAGAATGGGGCACAGTATTGCATTTGAGGCCTCACCCGCGCCAGGTAGAGTAGAACAATTACTGCTTGGCTGTGTCTAGACTGGCCAGTTTTTCCAGAAAATCAGCAGCTTTTCCGGAAAAACTTGCCAGCTGTCTACACTGGCTGCTTGAATTTCCACAAAAGCACTGACTTCCTACTGTAAGAAATCAGTCCTTTTTGCGGAAATACTATGCTGCTCCCGTTCAGGCAAAAGTCCCTTTTGCGCAAAAGGGCCAGTGTAGACAGCTAAGATTTGTTTTTCACAAAAAAGCCCCGCTTTTCCGCAAAAAGTGCTTTTGTGGAAAAGTGTCCATGCCAATCTAGACGCTCTTTTCAGAAAATGCTTTTAACGGAAAACTTTTCCGTTAAAAGCATTTCCGGAAAATCATGCCAATCTAGACGTAGCCCTTGTGTCTCATGTACGGTTTTCCTGTTAGCATACCCCAGAATGATATTAGACTTTTTACCAGCTGCATCACATTGCTGGCTCAATTTCAACCTTTTCTGCAGTTGAGCAGATTCCCTCCCGGTTTGCCTCTTATGTGTTTGTGTTCTGCAATGCTTGGTTGAAAACCAGCCCCTTAGGGAACTCAACTGGGCTACTACTGGAGGACTCTGGATTCAAGTCCTCATGTCCAACACTTTTTGTGTGACCTTGAATTCAGTGCCCCATCTGTAAACATGGAGATAATTGTACTTCCATGCTTCACAGGCTAAATTAATTAAAGCTTGTAAGACATGTTTATGAACTATGGTGATGAAAACTATTTAAACAGCTAAGATAGACAGACCCAGCCCAGACAGGAGGAGGTTGTTTGTGGGGAGTGCAAACTCACAATATTCCTATTTTTTCCCCTGTGCTCCTCATTCTTCCTCTGTTTGTCCCCTTCCCTCACTGGTTTCAGTACAGGATGGGAAAATGCCTTTAGTTCCAAAAAGGGAGTTAATGTATCTCAATAAATTATGGTACAATAACCTTAGACAATCTGGTCTCTTGCCTTGGAAGCTGAGTCTGCCCAGGATTGAAGCTCTCTGCAAGATGCCGATGTTACCAGACTGGCCAGTAGAATTAGTATTGGTGTTTTCATTGTAAAGGTTACTTGTTCTGGAAGGGTGGAGGCAGGCATATCAAGTGTATTGTATTGTAATGTATCGGCTTATGTGTATGTGCATCAGCCTGTTTATAGTGGTCACTTTTGAAACATTCAGTCCTGTAATTTTCCTTTGTTTAGGGAGTTTGTGTGTGTTGGATGATACTTTGCACATGCCAATCTATGAAGCCATTCATTCTAAGCCAGTAGCGCTTGAGATGTTTAGCCAAATTCAGCCATCATATGAACATGTGACCTCAATGGGAGTTGCACCATTTTACACAAGGGACAATTTTACTCTGCTGTGGCTGTCCTTCCCAAAAGATCAGGACCTGCTGCTCAGACCCAGAACAGGAAAATGAACCCATGATTCTTACATGGTGCGGTAGAGAGCTAACCAGTCGGATGCTTCTTGCATCTCTTCAATAAATTTCAATCCTGAGACTTCCAGGGTGCAGAGAAGTAAACTAAGGAGAGAAACTCCACTGTACTGGCCTCTTAGATCTGGGCTAGGCGTTCAACCCACATGCCTTATATGGTAGTGCAGATCACCATTAACTAGGCTGCCTCTCATGGCTGAAATAAGCTATAGCCCTGAGTTCCAGCAATGTGATGGTCTTTCATTATTGA